TTTTTTTATTATTATTGACTTGACACGAAAAGAAATGTCATCTACTCGTGGTCGAAAAATTCGTTGTCTTCTCAAACAACGTCTTTCGGCTCTTTCTAACTCTTCGATAGCCATAAGAATTACGTATCCGTCAGCCATTTTCACTTTCGTGTAGCGATCTCACATGCTCGACTCAACGTGAGTAGCAACTCGCATGGTGAGATGGGAAAGCACGTGAGTTAGAACTCGAGACTACCAATTTGACGTCAGTGTGTGAGAAAATACCACGTGACACCTTCAACACGTTGGGAGTTGTAACACGAAAAACTCGAGACTAAGGCCCCTGGGCTGTTAGCCGCTTGCCCGCTAGATATTTGGCCGCCCTCGCCCGATTACGTGAATCACGAATTCACGTATTTATAACTTACCAGTAAATTCTTATCGGTTGGGTTAGGTTTTTATGATAGTTCTGTATAGTTGACAGGAGTTATCAAATATTTTAATGGATTTTTTTTATTATTATTCCGCTCTCCGATTTTATATTACTCACGGATTTCAATGTTAAACCAGTGATATTACGATTACGTACGTCCCATCTCTAAGGAGATGTAGAAAAAAACGTGTACAATTCTTGTATAGTGTTAAAAAATTAACTGTTACTTTGACAGCGTCATTTACAACTAAATTTAATGAATGAGAGATATGCACCAGGTACAGAAAAAGCTCTAGAATTTATATTCCTTAAATTTACGATTTATGTATCCGTTTGTCGTAAAAATTTGTCTTTCCACTTTCTCCCCGAGACTACAAATATTAGAGTACAAAGTAACCGGTTTCGACTTATTTCTATTTAAGTAATAGTTAAATAATTAAGCGATTAGGGAATCGGGGACATGAATAAAAACCCTGACGAAAGAGCCGAAATTTTACTTAAACAAAAGCTTAACCGAACCAATCTCTAGCCGAGTTCTTCGTAATATTAGATGTAATAAAGAGAGAAATTTTTCCAGTTCAATGACAGTGACCGAAAAGTTGTAAATTTTGAAAATTTCCGTGGACCCTGGTCCTAAAACGAATTAATTAGAAAACAAATGACATACAATCTATTAAGTTTAACATATTTAGATTTTTACAGCTGTGGTGAGAAACGTTTAAAATCTACAACAACCCCGTCGCGTCCTTTGAGGTATACTAGTGATGCGACAAAAGAGGCATTTGACATTGACCGGTATCGGCACCCTCGGGATTTGGCAGCCCGCGTGCCTGCACCTACCAGGATCATCTCTGATTCCATCCATTAGTCACTCGTAGGGAGCTATTTGAATAAGTGGATTGTTTTAAGATTTAAAAAGTAAAGAAGATTTTATGTTATTTTTATGTACGTTTCTTTACAAAGCTATATTTAATTATAATCTTCTTTAAAAGTATATTAATATATTTGAAGAATATTTTGTACCAGGTATGTACTGTACATCCACCACATTTTTTTTCACCGAGTAAGTTTTTATTATTTTATTTATAATGACCTAAGTTGGTGCGGTTTTTTTTGCTCAATTGTGTTATTCTGCGTCATTAGTTCTATTTTTTTGGAAATGTTCCCACTTACTCCTCCAGAAGTGTTAAAGCAAACCCAAGAAGAACGGAAGGGAACTAAACATCATCGTTCACCGAGTGATCCGGGTGTAAAATATCCAAAGTTAGAACATTATTTTAAGAGGCAATCTCCTCCGGACTCAGATAGAGAAGAATTGTTAACCTTACGGCAATATTTGGAGACGACTTTAAATGCAGTAATGATGCAGTTGAAGTGTATCGGAGATAGGCTCGCCAATTTGGAAATGGCCAACCAGTCAACCTTGTCCTCTGTAAGAAAATTGGAAACTGACTTTCCTAAAATATTCGCGATTAGATAAATTGGAACAGCAACATCAGTTACCTTTGGACGACGTTGGTGAGTTACACTCCTTTGCCTACGATAGACAAATTAATGCTTCAAACAGAAGCAATTTAATGTTATTTAATCATAGTATTCCGCTCGAGTTGGATTTGCGGGATTATATTGTTAACTTATTTTCTAAGGAATTGGATGTGACTGATCTGTCGGGGCATAATACCGTTTGAGAGGTAAAGCTCGGGAATTCTATAGCATCCAGTTGTCGTCCTGGAAATGTCGAAATTATTTATTGCAAAAATTTCGGACGAAAACTCAACAAGAGGGCAGGGAAAGACAGGTGAAATTTAGGTTGGCACTGGATCTGTCGTTTAATTCCCGTGTTCGCCGTAAAAACCAGGTTACTTTTTTAAAAGAGTACCGGAAAGCTGGTCGTCGTGTTTTTTTTTGCGAGATGACGTATTATATGTAGATGACAAGAGATTTACGTATTCTATCTCGGGCCATCGCTTAATTAATAGAGGTTCCTGTTTCTTTTTTATTTTGAATTTTCCTCCCCGCAGGATAGTCGATTTGGAGAGACTTTCAACTTCATCGTGCCCGGACCAGTTTGATTCGAATAGTTATTCGGAATCGTTGTTTTTTTGGAATTGTTGTGGATTTAGCACTAAGTGTTCTCTGTTGGATTATATGATTAAACGACCGGGTTTAATTTGTTTAGCTCTTGTTGAAACCTGGATAGTTTCAGTGGATGGAGATTTTCTTGCTAACTTTCTTCCAGTAAACTGGAGGTATTTTATGATTCCAGCGGAAAAGCCACTGGGGCCGGGTAGACCCCATGGTGGTATTTTGTTCTTTTTTGATGAAGTTAGAGGGCATTTCAAGTTATTGGAAATTTATCCTGATTTAATGGTGATTGGCTTATCACTTTACTCGGTTCTCGAACCTAGAAATATCCTGGTGCTGGTGGTATATGCTGGCTCGCAGATACAGAAGGGCTTACGTTTAGACTTGTTTTCCTCTATTTTGAACTGTTGGTCTTCGTACTACCGTGGAATTGTGATAATGAGCGATTTTAACGTCCACATTGGTGAAGAAATTGATTAACATTTCAATGTAGCCTCTCCCAACATTTTTGATGTCAGACGGTCAAAGGATTTAAAGGTCGACACGGCCGGGAGACAGTTTCTGTGTTGGTTGATTGAACACGATTTTATTCTCCTTAATGGTCGTACTAAGGGAGATTTCCCAGGTGAACTAACTTTTTTGTCAAAAGTGGGTAGCTCGGTTATAGACTTTATTGTCGTTTCTCAGAATCTGGTTCATAAGGTTGAATCCCTTTGTGTTGGGTCTCTCTCATCTTCGGACCATTTTCCAGTGGAATTACAGTTGTCGGCCGGAAACAGATTTTCCTTTGTTGATGGGCTTTGTCCCACCAAGACTCGTTATGTTTGGAATGATTCAAAAGTAGAATTGTTTGGTGACGCCGTATCGCTGAGTTTCCGAAATATAAACTTTGATTCTGTGTCTGTTGATGATTTATATGGTATTATTTTATCCGAGCTATGCTCTATCTTAAGAAGACTAAATGTGTTAATTGAATGTGTTGAACCTTACAGGAGGATTCGTCCCCCTTGGTTTGATAGATCATGTTACATTCAGAAGCGAGCGAGGAACATTGCCTTGGGCAGATCTAATAGTCAGGCTGATTTGGCTTCCTTTTTAAATTTAAAACGACAATATAATTCACTTATTAGGGCCAAAAAGAGGAAAGATTTATGTAATTATGCTTTACAGATGGATGGGATTAGAGACTCTAAGACCGTTTGGTATCGGATAGGTCGTTTTCGTCGGGTCAGGCGCATACTAGACCAAGAGATTTCCTTGGCCGACTGGTTTATTTATTATCAACAATTATTTAGTTTAAATACACCGAATTTACCCCCGATTCTGTCACTGCCGATGGCTTCTTTTGTTGTTGATCCTAATTTAGATCTTCCTATCTCTGATACAGAGGTGAATACAGCACTTCAAAAGATGCGAATTCGTTCTACTCCCGGGGTGGATAATGTTTCACCGTCTTTAATTGTTTACTCTAAGGAAACTTTGGTTCCTTACTTGGCCAAGTTATTTAATCGAGTTTATGACACTGCTAGAATTCCGAATTCGTGGTTAGAGGTAAAGATAAAAGTTATCCATAAAAAAGGTCCACTAGACGATCCCGCTAACTTTCGACCAATATCGTTGTTGCCTGTAGTTCGAAAAATATTTACTTCTATTTTGGCATATAGATTATGTATTTGGCTAAAAGAGAGGAATCTGATTCAACTAGTGCAATTTGCTTTCCAACCTCGGAAGAGCACTTTAAGTAATATTTTGATTCTTTACTCCATTATTTGTAGACAGCTATCAAAGAAAAGACAATGTTTACTTGCAGCGTTCATTGACTATAAGAAAGCCTTTGACAGTGTTGTTTTGAATATTTTGTTATTTAAATTAAAAATGCTTGGAATCTCTGACAAGTTTATTGACATTATTCAATGTTTATTTTCAGGATTGAAAACAAGGGTTTCCACTAGTGCCGGGTCTACAGATGCTTTTTCATTAGAAAAGGGTTTACCACAGGATGATTCCTTAAGTCCGATATTGTTTATTTGTTATGTTAATGACATGGTACAAGTTTTTGATGATTTAAGTAAAGATTCCATTTCTCTGGGAAACTACGAAGTCCATTTACTTCAATTTGCTGATGATACAGTGGTGTTATCCACTACCCCGATTTATCTACAAAGGAAATTGGATAGGCTATATAATTATTCCTCCAATTTGGGTTTGAGAATTAATTTATCCAAATCGAAAATAATAATTTTTAGACATGGTGGAAGGCTAAAAAAAGCCGATAAGTTTTTCTTAAACGGTAAAGGAGTCAGTATTGTTAATGAAGTTATATATTTGGGGATTCGTCTCTCAGCTACTACCTCGTTCCAAAATTACATTTCTTACGTTAAAGGCAAAGCATTTTCCAAAATAAATGTTATAACAGAAATCTTAAGAAGGGTTAAAAACAGTCATATGGCTTTGTGTAAAAAACTTGTCGCCTCTCTTTTTACTTCGAGTTGGTCTTATAGTTTGCCCTTTCGGAAGCCTTTTTGTTTCGAGGGTATCGACTCTATAGAACTGATGTTCTTTCGTCGTCTGTTTGGTCATGAGAGGTCGATCCCATCGTATGCAATCAGATATGAATTGGGCCTTGAGTTTCCCCGGAAACACTTTGTCAAATTAACCTTAAATTTTCTGAGAAACATAATCTCTGACCCATCATCCTTGGAATGTGAGGCTTATTCTACTTTGAAGAAGTTTTCACCGAAAAGATCGCTCAAATTCTGTTGGTTTACTAAACTAGAGAATCTATTTAATAGAATAGGTATCTCACTCTCTTTGATAGATTCCTCTCCAGATGTTTTGAAATATTACGCAGATACAATTTTACAAGAGTTTGATAATCTTTTCTTGAGAGAAGAAGGGGATAGGATTCTTAATGCTAAGTACCATTTATGGTACCCAGAAATATTAGACAACAGCCGGTGTTTTTACATTTATTATCAGCAGTTACCGTTTATTGTTAAAAAACGATAATACAGATTCGTCTAAATAAGTTTCGTTTAATATGGAAACACTTGTGTATTGATCTACGTTCACCGGAAATGTGTCCGTTTTGTAAGAAAGGATATGCGACTTTAAATCACTACATGTTTGACTGTAAGGATTTTGAATATTTGCGTCTATCAACACTTTCTAACAATCTGCTATAAGTAATAGATATGTATATATGTATCCATGGTGCAGTTTTCTTTATATTCCTTTTAAAATCAAATATTTCCTATAAAATCAATTTTAAAATCATATATTTCCTCAAAAAATTGATGAAAACTTCATAGGTTAATTCTACAGAAATAACCACCGTTTTTTTGCCTGGACCGCATTTAATCAGAGACAATAGCTTATCTTCGTATTCTTTATTTTCTTACTATGCATTTCGGGTGCAATATTTTCGTATCACTTGCACCCCTCTTCAGGTTTTTTTTACATTTCTATATATTGGTAAATTTAATTATTACATTTGTTTTTACGGTAAATTACAACAATAGTTATTTGGATATATTTATACAATAGTTAACTAGGGAGACTATCCGATTTTTTTGAAAGAGCGATATAAACTGTTGTTTTTCTTTTTTTAGAAGAGACAGTTGCGTATGTGGTGTGGCTGACTCGCCATTGGATGCGTTTCATATTATCGCTGTTTGTACTTTTTTGTCAAAATTACGTGAGGAGACCTTTGGGGTTCCCTGTTTTTCATTTAATCAGTTTAAAAAAGTTATTTCTGATTTTGATTTATTTTTTAAGGCTTAAAGTGAAA